GAAATGTTTGTCGAATTTTTTTGGTGCCTTGATGTCGTTGTCTGCTCTAAGTGCGAAGCCGATTAAGTTTCTCAGGATCTCAGGATCTCCATTTCTCCGGACGTGGACTCTGGTCTTAAGTTAACTAATTTTATTCCTAATTTGGCTGAGTCAACATAAATTTTTGTATTTTATGGCTCATTAAGAAGTTAGTATTTTTTGGCTCAAAATGGAAAGTTTGATATAAAATGAGCTTATGAGTTTTTTTTTTAAATTTCAAAACGACGCCGTTTTGAAACTTAACGGATAAAGTAAACAGTACTTAACAGTTTTTTAATGGCTGTTAAAGTTGACTAATTTCATACTTAATTTGGCCGAATCAACCAAAGTTTGGTATTTTTTGACTCATTAGAAAATTGGTACTTATTTTGGCTCAAAACGAATATTTCGGTATTAAAATGACCATTTTCCCGTTTCTAGAGGGACTAAAATAGAATTTACCGATTGCGTCGCCAAAATCTTGCTCGGGCATTTATATTTACAAGTAGGAAACCTTCTTAAAAAAAGTTTAAGAAGAATCTCTATAATATTAAAAGAGAAGTACATTTAGGAGAATGTCCAAAATTGATTCCAATATTACTCAAATTGTCATTGCCTTATAATTAAATTGATTAAATTGAAAAGGATAATTTTGAACTAATGCAATGGCAATTTCAGTAATATTCAGCTGAATTTCGGACAATTTTTACACTGGATCCGATCACGGACGCGCGGATCCTTTGACCCGTTCGTGAGACCCGTTTTCATTAATGGCAATTTAAGTAATTTCAACAAATTTTAATCAATCTCACGTTTAATTATTTTATATATAGTTAGCCCAAAAAAGTAACAAATCCTAAGATTTGGAAAGTTGTTAATGCAAATCTTTGATAATAATAAATTTCGGAAGTTTGTATTTATTTAATATTTTTTAAAAATTGAAATCTTTCTCTAAACTTATCAAAGATTACAATCAAAGTTATATAAAGAAATCGCTTTTCTTAACAACCTTATAATGTCTTTTAAATTGTGATTTTTTATAGGAACAAATTTGAATGTTAATTAACATAATATTTATTTACATATATAATTTTTGTTTTGGTTTTGATTGTGAATGATTTCCGTAATGTGTTATACTATTTCTTAGGGAATCAAAATCTTTTTGTTAATATTCTTAATTATGACCCAAAGAAAAACCTAGAAATCAACCATATAATAACTCTATAAATAATTGACATCGATCTCACAAATTTTGAATGAGTAGTCGTTTCATATTGTTGTTCTTTCTTTTTCCTTTTTTCATGGTTTTTAATCTATTTTATTATTTTGATGTATTTGTGACCAATATTGTTTCTGTAGTTATAATCTGTTCAAATAACTTAATTTAACTTGTGTTTTTTTTATTAAACCAAGCAAATCGAATGTACTTTGACATGTATCATTTCTTGAAGAAGGTTATATTCATATCAAGAGAGAAGAAGAAGAGCAACAACAACAATCGCGACGAAAACAACAATCCGTTTGTCCTCAAATTATGGTTTATCTAAGATTCAGTCATCTGTCTGCTTCACTTGAAATTTCTTCGCAAGCTTTGAAGAGTTCATCGTCAACGTATTCTATTCTTTTTTTACGTTTATGGTTTCTGTAAAAATTTTACTCTTTTAGCATCTGATTGTTTGTGATTTGCTTGATTTGTGTTAGATTAGCATAATTTTTTGAAGGAAGATGGTGAGGCCGTGTGGGATTAAGGTTAACAAGAGAAAGGAGAGACAAGAGGGGTACGATAAAGAAGAAGATGAACAACCAAAGTTCGAGCATGTTAAGAAGGCGAATTAAAATTAGAGAAGAATAATGAAGAGAAGGAAGTGATTGAGGAAGAAGAAGATGATACTGATGAAGGGATACCTATTAATCTTGCTTATCATAAAACGTAAAAGCCCGGTGTTGTTTTCGTGCTTGAGAAGGCCTCTCTTGAAGTTGCCAAAGTTGGAAAGGTATTTTTGTAGGAATGTTTGCATTAACACAAAGCTATGGATTTGTTCTCGGTGCTAAGTATTTGAAACGATATAGTTTCAGAGCCTAATTTGTACCAATATATATGTTGTTCTTCTGTGCAGACTTTTATCATCTACTGAATTCCCACAATCATGCCAATTTCTTGAGAACAAATAACAGGAATCCTGCTTATTACCGACCATATACATCACACATCAGGTTGGGATTTTAGAACTTTCGAWGACATATTTTAAATAGAAATTGTGACTCACCGATTAATAAGGCTGGGAGATTGAAAGCAATTTATGTTAGAACAGAAAAAGTGTCCTTTTTGAAGTTTAGCCCCATGTTCGTATACCAAAAACTTACAAGCAATTGTTTAAGAATCATTAAAAAGATTAAATAGAAAGTCATTTGCTATACGCCATGAAACATTGAAAACGTTT